AACTTAAAAGTAATTTTAGGAATTTCCCACGTTTTATAGAGAGAAAAAACTAACTTCATAATTATGATAAGAATTAGTTGAGGAATATATCCTGCAAAATTAAGGCCTTAAAATATTAGGGGGGAAAAAAGAGAGGTTTTGAAATAGATTGGTGCTGTGCTTGTGGGTTGTGATTAGGAATATGGTTAAGAATTGTTTTTGGTGTGACAGAAGGCAATATGTAGGTAGTGGGTGGACAGCAGAAAATAGAGGAGAGTTATGGAGGTGCATAATTATCATCAACATGATGTTATGAATTGTATTTAATTATTATTATTTTTTTTTTTGTGAAAAGATTAATGTATTTAATTATGCAAAACAAAGTCTGGGAGAAAAATGTAAAGAAAGATAGGGGGAAAGAAAAAAAGGGAAGGCAAAGTCAAGAAAAATCCAAGAAAATGAAAAGGATTGCCTAGGAGTGAGTGGGTCAAGGAAAATGGATGGGGGTGGGAACGGTTGGATTAAGATTAAAGATTTTTTTTTTTTTTTTTTTTTTTCTATAAGTAAAGTTGGTATGCGTTCAAGACTTCAACACAAGGAAATGCGCCTGATTTCATGCAAAGCTTCTTGGGAATGATGACCCCTAATATATATATATATATATATAATTTCGATTTATATCATATTAAACCAACAAGACAAATAGTTAATTGCATTTTTTTTATTATTATGCTTTATTAACCAAATTTGCATATATAAGAGACTTTTCCACCGACTCTTTTCAGTTTTTCACCAAAGGTAGATTTGGATATATATATATATATATATAATATATTTAAGAAATCTATCTCTTGTAAGTATACTATTTTGAATATACAGTTAGCTTAATCAGAAACGTCACAGTAATATCTAGAAGTTAGATATATATCGGTTAGATTTGAAAACAAAAATCAGAAATATCGTTGGCAAACAGTTTCTAATTTTCATCAAATAGAAACTAGTATGCAAATCAATAATACTAATCGAACAAATTCAAGTAGTTGCATGGCATAATTTATCGATAATTTCATACCTCACTCCACCTTAAAATGTCGAGTTTAACTCTCCCCATTCACATTTTTTTTTCTTTTTATAAAAAAAAAAAAAAAAAAAAAATCCAACAAGTTCAAACAAATGTGATAGATTTCTGCTCTAACTAAGAGAGGAGTAAATCCCTTTAATCGAATTTATTATGAGAATAAGAAATAAGAAAAGCAAACGAAAACAAAAAAGAAATTCAGAAACCAACCACGATGGCTAACAAAACAAGAAATCAAAAAACGATAATCACACAAACAACACTACGGAAAATGCTAACGAGAACAGCCTGAATATGACACGAACCAATTCGTTTTTACTTCGACCACAAAGAGCATAATCTTCTTCTTCTTCTTCTTCTTCTTTTTCCTTCCTTTCTTTCTTTTTTTTTTTTCCCAATATCTTTTATACAAATCTGTCGATTTATCTTAAGATTTTGGCACCACTAACTCCATTCTCTCTGTCCATGCTATTGTATACTAGTCACTTTTCTCTCCTTAAAGATCAATGGAAAGCGGGAAATTAGATAAAAGTCTGGTTCCTAACTTCTAGTCACAAGGAACTGTGACTGGAACCTCTAATCTATTGCCTTGCTTTTACGAAAACTTGAATATGCTAACTAATATATACGAATTTTACAAGGAAAAAAAATGAACTAATATTTGAATAATTTCTATAATATTTCTATTTGAATAATATTTGATTTTTGCATTAACATTATGATGTGTCGTATCCTCAAATTTTCTGAATGAACTTAAAAAAAGAGTTTTTTCACTACTAAAAGTAATTGTACTCTTTTTGTCTTCTTGTGTGGCATAGAGAGATAGATAGACAGATAGATAGACATGATTCTCGAGTTACTACGCTTTCATTGTTAAGATGAGACAGAAGCCGTGGGAAAGTAGTAGTATAATGCCCAAACGACAAGCAAAGCAAACGCATTTAATGTAGTTCCAGTTCAATTCCTGTGAAATAATCCATGACTTTGTTTTGATGTGTAATTGTCCCGCACCCCATGCACAAGTTCAATTGCTTCGAGCCAAAAGTTTATTCATCAAAGGATGCTCTACAAAATAAATAAATAAAATTAATAATAAAAAAAATCCAGCTCACCTTTCAAGGTCTCTGCACAATGGCTGGTTATATGTATTGACTCGATGAAATACTATTGTAATTTACACCAATGTTTGTCATTTGGAATTACACATTAAATCTAATTTTTTTTTTTTTTTTTTACTTCAATTATTCCTGTCAGGTTTATCACATATATACGTGATGGTTGTTTCCAAGGTGGCACAAAGTTATTGTCACATAGTACAAGCAATAATACTCTTTTTTTTTTTTTTTAAGTAATACCCAATAATACTAGCTATAGCTTAACTGCAAATTTAAATATACTTATAGTAGTGCTGTGCATTTGCAGAATATATAGCTTTGTTCATGCTTTGGCAGACCAAGTAAAAACAAAAACAAATTGTTTTCCTTTTTAATCATCTAATTAATAACCAAAAAAAGAAAAAAAAATTATATATCTATACATAATAAACAAACAAAAGGACACAAAGGGCACGAAGAAAAGGAAAGGCGCTGTCTTGAGAGGGAGAAGAAACCAATGAGTTCGTAAAGTACTACTAAACGTTAATATTCGGTGGTGTAAATATCTCTTAATTAACCTTTCAGAAATTTGTTATGTAAAATTGTATAATATTGAAACATTATGTTCTTAGAAATGACATGTGTAGGGTTAAAAACAGACGGTGGGGCGTGAAAAATCTCTGAATGAAGTTATTGACTGTTTATGAGTGTGGAGAGAGAGAGAGAGAGAGAGAGAGACTAAAGTCACGTTGTCGTGCAGGGCTATAATACTATATAACACAGAGAAAGAGATTGATGATTAATAGGGGAAATTAAGGGAAGAGAATGGTTAGAGGGAAAAAGAAGCCGACCCCGTTTGGTGGGACCTTTAAAAGACAAATTGCGTGATGCCATTCCAAGCACTCTCTTTCACATTACCTCTCTTCTGATAGCTTTCTCTGTCTCTCTCTCTCTCTTTTTTTTTTTTTTTTTTTTTTTTTTTTTTTTTTTTTTCCGGTGGCTTCTCTCTTTCTTTATCACCACCTTCCATTAATTAAAGTTAAAAATACCTTCTTGGTTTTGGGGAAGATCACCAATACCAACTCAAACTTTTCTTGTGAGATTCACTCTAGCTTGGCCAATTTTATTTTTTCCCCTTTTAAGAATTTTGTATTGTCAAGATCATACACACGATATATACATACAACTTTTTTCACCGCCAAGAGCGGGTTGGTAAAAGAAACTGATTACTGGAAAAGACGTTCTCTTTGTCTATCTTCCAAGGCATTTTTTAGCGGTGATTGATTGGTACTCTTGCATGTTCATGTACGTATTCACATACGTACATATTCTATACAATCTTTAAAAAAAAAATACAAGTAATATATGACAAAACACAACGGAATATGGTCCCATTCATTGTAAATTAGATATACACCGAGGCCTATCCGTCAAAAATAACAATAAGGCAATATATACATATATATATATATATGGAGTTTTCTTATCTGGTATCCAAATTAATGTATATGTAAAATTGACAGAAACTAATATAAATAAATGACATAATTTGATATATTATCTTATTGTAAAATTCTCAAAAGACTATTGAAAGATAAAACTTGTACAAAGTTTTTTTTTTTTTAAGGTTATACAACAGTAAGTCGTTTTTCTAATACTAAGCCGACGCAACAAGTATGTATTTCACCTAATGTATAATTATCAAGGGAAAGGCCTTATGGTTGATTTTTCTTTTAATATATACTTGGATCTTACGTACTATGAGTATAACAATTTTCTTCCATTTAAATTCTTAAATTAGTAGTCTTCCAAATTTCGACACAACTTATTGGTTGATTGAAGGGCTTTTGCCAACCATTCACTAAATAGGGTTGGATTATTTTTAATCAAAGAATTTGTTGGTAGTTGATTTTTGGATCCTAAATTTAAATTTGGCTTAATGCTCCTTTGACATAGTCATAGCATGGAATTTGATGAGACAATTACAAATTTTGTAAACACAAGAAAAAGGGAGAGCTAAACCAACAACCACGCAATTAGGTCAAGGCACTGTGATCTCTTTTCTATTTTCTAAGATAAGGAAAGACAAAACAAGAGCAAAGATAGCTATTGTGAGTTTCAATCTTCAAGATCAAGAATAATTCAATTTCCTTTTTTATTTCCAACAAAATATTTACTAAATATGAAAAATTACAGATATATGATAAACAAGCACATGTTTAGTTTTCTTCCTGATTTACTTTTCAAAAGAAGTAAGTTATAGCTAGACGGTGGCCAAACCAAATAAATAGATAAAAACAAAACACTATCAAATAGTTATAACAAATTATTCCTCAAAAAAATAGTAACAAATTAACTAGATTGCCGTGTAGTGCATAATTTTCAACCATCTAACTACATATACGTTATATTTGATTTCAACTTTTTTAAAAATACTTTGTGTTTCTCACTTGAAAGCAAGTATTTCAAAATTTTTTAATCTTGATTAATAATCTAACGTAATCAACATGATCATTAAGCCTAATTACTCTAGATTTTCTGATAATTAACCCTTTATTATCTTTTGCATATTATTCGATAAGCAAAGTAAAATAAATTCACCTTGTATATTGAATCTGGACAAAATACTTGAAATACCCAAAAGATAACATAGTCCAACAAAATTATATAAAATCCATTTTCAGTTTTTAGACTTATACTCCACATCATATACATGCACAACAAATAAAAAAGTAAAATAAATAAATAAATAACTTATAGAAATGGTTGAAAAAAATAAATGAAATAAGAAAGAGAAAGAGGTGGAGAAAGCTGGCGAGAGACGCATGGGCCATATAAAACAATCCCAGCGGCAGAGACACCTGCACGCTCAACAAAAAACTTACTCACAACTTCACATCTCTATTTTGAAAAAAAAAAAAAAAAAATCTTTTTTTTTTTTTTTCAAAAAAAAAAAAGGAATTATGGGGGGGTATTAATTAATAATATGGGGTGTGGTGTTAGAGAGATAACAAACAAGCACGAGACTCCCTCCTCTCAAGAAAAGCCAGCCCCACGCGAAGAAGAAGAGAAAGAAGCATAAGAGAGAAAATAATAAAAAGGGAATTTGAAGAGGAAGAAGAAGAAGAGGAAGAAGAGAGCAAAGAAAGAAAGCAGAATAAGGTGTCTCTCTCTTGGACTGATTCGTTCCAATCGCATCTAATCTCTTTGTTCCTTTTTCTTTCTCTCTCTGTCCATCATATTTCATATGTTAGAGAGAAGGTGATACTAATACATGTTGGCAAAGGCAAAGGCAATATAGAGCGAGAAAGGAAAAGTAGGTGAAGACACAAAGTGGCAAGCAAGGGGGAAAAAAAAAAAAAAAGAGCATACAAGGTTTATTAAGGGAGGAAATAATTGTATGGTGGCATGGTGAAGATTTGTGCTTGTTGAAGTCTTCTTCTCTCAACAAACAAAAAAAAAATTCATTTTTTTGATTTACTTTGGAGGATTCCTTCTCTTTCTCTCTCTCAAATTTCTCTTCCCTCTTAAAATTCCAATCCAATCTATCTTGTTCTTTCTTTCTCTCTCTTATTGAGAGATAGGAGGGCATCTTCCTTGTCTTCCATGCTTCTTCTTTATCTGCCTTCTTTCAACATTGCTTCATCTTCTTAATTAGTTTGCTTTTACCAATACCAATACCAATAATACCAAATATCCCCTCTGTCTGTACCCATATACATACATTTCTGTTACAAAACTTTCCCCTGCTATATACATATAACATCATAATCTTCATAATTTTTCTGTCCTATCAATCTAGAAATGGCCGTTCAAGCTCAGTACCCTTCAAATGTCCTCCTTCTAAATAGGTACGTTTCCATTTTCTCTCTCTCTCTCTCTCTCGCTTAGACTCTTGCTTTATCTCTCTCTTCTTCTTCTTCTTCTTCTTAATTATTAGCTAAATGTTTAAATGGGTTATGCAGAAACGGACAAGACGGGCACGACTACTCATTACAACCGCAACCAGGAGGACTGTTCCTCGATCAATCCCCAATGATATTCAACAATGTCGCCGGTGAGTTTCTCATTGAAAAATAAAGAAAAAGTTGAAATCTTTGGCAACCCAATTCAGGTATTGATTGATTAACTCTGTTTTTATCAATCGCAGCGAGTGGTACTACTACTAATAACAATAATAATACTAATCCGAGGAAAAGAGGAAGAGAAGCTTCAATCACAATGAACAATATTCCCTTCTCTTTGCAGCAACAACACCAACAACCTCATCAGCTTATTGACCTTTCTCAGCTTCATAATCAACAACAACAACCCAATGTGGTCTCCACAGGCTTGAGATTATCTTTCGGAGAACAACAACAACAATTGCAAAACCATCACAACAATCAGAATCAGAATCATCATCACCATCAACAACAACAACAAGAAGAACAACAGTTTAGTCAATCTCCGTCTTTGTTATCTGTATTGGCAGAGGATTTTGCCTCACAAAATAAACAACAGAGAGACGAAATCGACCAATTCCTTCAAGCCCAGGTACTTATGTTGTCTCTTCTAAAATGGGTTCGTTTTAAAAATTGGGGAAAAAAAAGAAACAAAAAAGTTGAATATTTTTGTGATTGAATATAGGGGGAGCAGCTGCGGCGCACTTTAGCGGAGAAGAGGCAGAGGCACTATCGTGCGCTACTGGGCGCAGCGGAGGAGACGATAGCGCGGAGGCTGAGGGAGAAGCAGGCGGAGATGGAGAAGGCAACGCGCCGGAACGCCGAGTTGGAGGCACGCGCGGCGCAGCTTAGCGTGGACGCGCAGCTCTGGCAGGCCAAGGCCCGGGCGCAGGAGGTTACGGTGGCCTCGCTCCAGGCCCAACTTCAGCAGGCCATGATGGTGGGCGTCGGTGGGCCCACTTCGGCCCACGATAGGAGGGGCGTCGACGACGGCGGGCTATCGTGCGCCGACGGCGGCCAGGCAGAGGACGCCGAGTCAGCTTACGTTGACCCGGATCGAGTTGCCGTCGTGTCGGGACCGAGTTGCAGGGCGTGTCGGAAGCGAGTCGCCTCGGTGGTGCTGTTGCCGTGTCGGCACTTGTGCCTCTGTACGGACTGCGACAGACTCGTTCAGGCCTGCCCGGTTTGCCTTTCGCTGAGGAATTCCAGTGTCGAGGTCTTTCTGTCTTAGGGCCCAGGACCAGCCGATTGTAGGCCCAATTGTGGCGGGGGGGGGGCCCCCCCGATTGTAGGCCCAATTGTGGCGGCTGTGGGCCCACTAAAATGCAACGCCGGAGAATATGGAGAAAAGAAAAATGAAGGAAAAAAAAAAGAGGAATTTCAATAATATTGGAGTATAATAAGGAAAAAGAAATGACATTCTCTTCTCTTTTTTTTTTTTTTTTTAAATGGGAAAATAGGTGATTATCCTGCTCCCGAGACTCAAATTTTTCTTGTTTGATTTCCCCTCTTGGAGTGATTACCTAGAGGTAATGTACATGGCCACGTGGGTAGTGGCATTGTTTTTTCTTTTTTTTTTTACTTGTTCTTTTTTTATGAAATTTAATTGATATATAAATTCTTTTATTTGATATTTATAACTGTCATTGTGCAGATTTTTTTTTTCATATTCTATTTTGTTTTTATTTATATGAATGTATTAGTCCTACATTGCCAATATGGAATTTGCACATCGGTTAAATGTGTTCGTGTTGAAAAAATTGATTGCCCATATGTGGAAAAAAAAAAAAAGGCACAAGGCTTAGGTAGATTACAAAAATTAGCTTATAGTTTCATTGGAAAATGGTTCAAAGGAGCAGAAGGTCTACACTTTGTGTATGCATTAATAGCCATACTCCCAAGTCTATGTTTTCAGTGATATGTAGTTAGGTATATTTTTTTTTTGTTTTGTTTCTTGATATTTCATACCCTTTTGCTTTAATTATTTTTGCATAAAGGTTTCTTTAAATTAAATCACTGAATTTTTTTTTTTTTTGTTAGGAGTGGCACTTCTCAAATGGTCAGAGATAAAAAGATTTATCTCTTCAGGCATTGCCATGACGTGACATTGTCTAACACTTCTTACCACTATTCCGAGTTCCTTTAGGAGCAATAAAACCAAGGCTCATAGACATAGAAATATTAATTAGGTTTGAAACTAATCTTGGAAGTATGTGATCAAAATATACGATTGAGCTTGGAAGATATGTGATCAAAATATAGGATTGAGTTTAACATGTGATTCTCTGTGTTCTTTTTTTTTTTTTTTTTTTTCCGAAGAAAGAACATATATCTCCTAAGATGATGATAAACTAAGAATGAAAAAGAAAACTCAAAAGATCGAGAAAATTTTCTGTCATACTTGGCACGTATTTGTGCTGTGAAAATTTAGTCTTGCTTTGCAGTTAGAGGATCAAGTCAGTTATAATTTGTAAAGAGAAGTGGCCAAGTTTTAAATCTATTCCTCAATGCGCAGTAATCTTGAGTCATGACTCATGTACTACATGTAAATGATGCATTTAATTAATCTAAACATAAATAATTAAATGAAATAAAATAATGAAATAGAACCATGCTAATTGATGAATTTTTTTAATGCTAATGCACTACTGCATACTTGCATATAATCAACCTATAAGTTTATCAACATTCAAAGAATTCAAATGAAGAAAATTGTTAAACTTAGGATTGAATTATATAAAATGAAAACAACTATAATGTCTTTTTCTTTTTGTATGAACTATAACTATAATGTCTTTTTGTCAACAAATATACATTAAACTAAATACATACCCTTTATTTTTTTTCTCAGTTAAGTATTAGAAAAACTATTTATTAGACTCTGTATAAACTTATAAAACTTCATATAAGTTAGGTCTCTCAATGGCTCTTATCATCTTGCAACTTCACCTCTCTCAATTAGCTCTTATCATCTTGCGTTTTTAGACGAATAGAATAATCTTTACAATGCAAAAAACCATATTTTGATATACCGTATTGTTCTATTTTGACACGTATCATTTGTGTTTCTCTAGTATTTACAAGGTACATTTGTATACAAATGACATAAAATGAACATTTAAAAGTGTCAAATCAACCACGGCTTGTAATTCTAAGAAATATAAAAGTTCAAGTAATTTCAGCAAAACCAGTGCTCATCCAATGTGGGATTGGAGGATATATCTACTTCTTAACAAATGGATAGCAAGAATGCAGATGCACATACAAGATTTTCATATAAATACTAAAATACTTTATAGCAAAAAAATGTAAATACTAAATACTAAATAGATCAAGCTTGCTGCTAGTACATCTCTACTTCTCTTTTATTTCTCTGGTGTTCCTTTTTTTTTTTTTTCCCCCATTTTTGGCTGAAAAGTACTACGGGCTTTGGCTAATTGTCCACTCATCGGGTAAATTACAAGAATACTGCTTCGCCAGAGTCGATATTGGGTTATATTGCTTAAATAAAAAATTTGAGCTTAATTTACATATAAAAATGGTACAGTGAATTGCTAGATTTTATAAATTATATAATTGTGCCTAATTTACACTCCACTCAGCCTCGCCATTCGCGTCAGATGTGTCATTCCTTGTAATTATTTGGTTAAATTATGCATTCCAAAGGAAACACCTAAATCTTACTCAATCTCTTCATTTAATAGCCCCCTCCTTGACTGCTATATAAATTCCTCGCGTGAAACCATATATGTGGCTATTACCGAGACTTATTTCCAAAATATTTTAGAACTGATTTTTCTTTTTTCGATTGTTTGGAGCTAGGGAAACAAACATATTTGATCCTTTCCCATCGATTATTAGACAAGATGTTTTCTATTTATTTATTTATTTTGTGGTGTCTGTTTTTGTTTTAAATGTTGGTATCTCAGGTAATCAATTTCTACCATCATAATACGTAATACACGTACGGCTAGCAAACCTGCAGAAATTATTTGGATATATATGGCAGAAATATATGGGCAACATTAATATTTCTCTATAGCACTCCATTGCCACCATGATTCTTTGTAGCTGCTTTCTTGTAACACAAACTTTCTAATTGAAGCATTATCAATTAATCCAATGTTTTATTACACCATTGAATCTTGAAAGTGAAACAATAGGCGGCATTATAAACAAATCATTCTCTCTTCAACTAGGACAAAATAAAAAGGAAAAAATTAAGAAAAAACCAATGCGCCCTTGATAGATCCTAGATAGATTACTTCAGTTTTTTTTTTTTTTTTTTTTTTTCACGAAAACAAAGCCGCGTCTATAGATAATGTCAAGGCCTTATTATTTATGGATGTGATATAATTTAGCCCAAATATTTTTGAAGAAAAATCATTATATAAATGAATAACGTTGGAGATATCAATTATAATCCTAACATTTCTATACCAACTTACGGGTAGGTGAGTTGTCATTTTTTTATTGATTGTTGTTTAAAAAATTGTCATGTCAATTAATAATAAATTATTATATTTACCAGTGAAAAGATAACAACATTATACCACGTAAATTGATATAAAATAGTTGGTATGAGAATGAGTGTACCTAGCACTACTCTATGTAAATATATAAATAAGGAAAATCTTAACAAATACTCTTTAAAAGTGTATAAGTTAGAATTTTTACCGTTTACTCATAATTCATAACCTTTTTAGTCAAATAATTACACTAACAAAAGAATATTTATCAAAAATAAGGAATAAAAATCTGAACTCATACACTCTTAAGGGTAAATTTTTCATTTTTTCTATAAAAATGAATATATGTCAATGGACATATACAATCACAAAGCATATCTAATCACATTCTAATCATGTAGACTCGTAATAATACCGTAATTCGTGAGTCTCAGATCACAACCTGGGTACTGATTGTGATCACATGGCCATCACAACGTATTGTCCAATGTCCAATATTATTTCTTTTTTGGCTAATGTTCTAAATTAATATTATCTATAAATAATGTTATTTTGGTGTGCATGAATGTGGAATATTCAAGAATTTTCTCCAAGGTGCATGCAAGTGACACTCTTTTTTATGTCAAAGTAGGTGATAAACTTAAAAACTGTCATTGTGTTTTGAGAACTACGTATTCAACTAAATAATTGTCATGTATTTGATGATCAGGACAGTTAATAAGATTCCTTGCACTTAAATTTGGTTCATCTTTCATCTAGTATTATTAATTCCTTGTCGATATGAGACGTCTAAAATTAAACTAGCTGATGATTAAACGTTTTCATATATACACACGTTTTATATCTATTATTTCGATATAATATTATGAACAAAACATAAAACAAGGAATAATTAAAAAGAGAGAATTTGTGAGGGATTAATTTTAGTTTCCAACGATTGAAAAATTGGCATGATAAAGAATGTAACGGAAATATAGCAAATAAGTGAAATTAATTAAGAATTTCGTTTTCCTTCCAAGTTGGAGGGAAGTTAGGGCGCGTTCACTTCACTAACTCAAATTTATTGATTCGAGTTAAGAAAGTGGATTTGAGTTGCAAAAATTTTAAGTTTAATTTGGACTTTGAGTTAAGTGTTTAGGAGGAGATTGATTTGACATTTAAAACTTGAGTTTTGTGTTCACTTGTACTAAAATTAAACTCCAATTATAGAGAAGTGTCATTTTTTTACAGAGGTAATCTGCACTGTAGAACCAAACTTGAGTAATGGGAAAACAAGGGATGGGTGAAACTCACCAACTCAAGTTATTACTCGAGTTTTGAAATTCGAGTTGCGTTTAGTGAACGCGTAACTCATCTCAATTTCACACTCGAGTTGCGTTTAGTGAACGCATAACTCATCTCAATTTCACACTCGAGTTGCGTTTAGTGAACGCATAACTTATAACAATTTTACACTCAAATTGAGCTTGCTCGAATGTAATCTACGAAGTGAACGGCTCCTTAGAATAGGCTTAATTGTTGGTCTTTGTTTTTATTTCTGAGAATCAGATCATATAGGCTTAATGTCAAGCCGAGGGAATTCCTCCTCTATATCTGACAAGTCGTTTAGAAATTATTGTAGAAGAAAAAAATCAATAATTTATGTAATTTCCGATCTTTCAATTTGGCCTAATGCACATAGAGAGATAAACTAAGCATGGATGATCATATCTACATTTTCATCATATACACTGGACCATAAGTCAGAATTTTTATTTCCTCTGGCTTCTATCTTTTCTTTGCGCATTGTTAATTAGGCAACGTGTGAAGTTCAATAACATCACATTTTGCTCGTACAAGATGAGCAGATCATATTGCATGAATTATATATAATATATATAGTTGGGAGTTTCTCTAATAATCTGCCCTACTAATAATTTCAATTTTTAACTGTTAGATCTAGTTAAAATCACATTAAATTAAAAAAATATACAGCACATATAGATTTTAATACAGATCTGACGGTTGAAAATTAAGTGACCGATTATCTGTTTTTGTATGGACTAACAGGAAAATCCCTATATAGTTCAGTACAAAGCATTATTGAAACAAATTATGATAT